CAGTGCTGGGGGAGTAAATTTTCAGCAGTTTTCATTTTTGGGCGAAAGATTCCCTTAAACATGATACATATCATTTGAAAAATCTTGAAAAAATTCTAATACATATCATTTGAAATGCATGCCTGTGTTATCTTTTTTCTGTAATGATACAAAAACACCTGGAACATTTTCTGTGTTAAAGGTGAACATGTTTCTTGCGTCCTTTGTGTTACAGGTTTAAAGTTGTAGAGCTGATCTGTTACGTAGCAATGGGTGTTTTCCCCGCTCTTGTCATCCTCTCTATGGTAAGAAAAGGAATGCTTATGTTATGACAGACTAATTATAAATAAATTCAATGTCTGTCTGTTTTCTTTATAGGCAGACAGGTCAGGTCTGTGTGAGCTGTTGGTTGGTGGCGGGTGTTATGTGTTGGGCATGGTGTTCTTTAAAAGTGATGGAATAGTGCCCTTTGCTCACGCTATATGGCACCTGTTTGTTGCAATGGGATCAGGCATCCATTACTATGCCATCTGGAAGTACCTGTACACACCTGTCAATCAACCAACCAGTACGGCCCGGTGACACACACATGCATACACCTAACCACAAAATCATTTGAATATATATTTGTCACAAAAGTGCTACTAAAGCATAAGCAGTATTGTTTATTTGCTCTGTTGTGTTTTTGCTAGCGAACGGTTTGACTGATGTCATTCTTGTCACTTATTAATAGGTCTTTAACTAGCACATACAACAGAAATTACGTCTAGCCTTTGTGAGACTGCAGGCAGCAGGGGTCATTTTGGACCTGAGGCCGTGTGGATCCAGAACAAGAACGTTTCTAGAAAACTATGGAGGTATTACATGAAGGTTTAAAATTGTTTTTTTTTAAGTGAAGGTAAAATCACTGCCAGATATTTGTAAAAACATTTATCCTGGATAGTAATTACTTGACAACAGTTTAAAGGTTTTTCTGTAGTGTCTTTAAACCGACTTGGGATTATTCCACTAATTCTGCCACTGCCAGTGTGGAGATTGTCTTATTCCTGTCAGAAATATGAGTACATTTCGTATTACTGTACACAGTATCAATTCTCCATGCTTCTAGTTTAGTTCTAGTCTGTTGCATTTTTGGATGTGTAATGTCTTTGGAAAAATGCCACAAGTGCTTGATGACTATGTCCAGGGAAAAATTTGCCTGGGCTGGTCATCTGATTTCATGGTTTAATGGAAAAGTTCAGACTCTCATATTATGATTGTGCTTTTTTTTTTTGGTGACTTTAAAATGTGTTTCATGTGATAACATCTATTTATTGATTTTAATCAAGTCAAAGTATTATTTAACATTTTAATTAATATTAAATGACTGAATCACCATGAATACATCACAGGATTACACCAACAAATAATTGAACACATAGGAAAATAGCTCACTTTTTACAGTTTTTACAGCATTGAGACTTGCGTGGTGCCAATTTTAGGCTTTTGCCTGATTTACTGCATTCCATGTCAGTGAAAATCTGAAAACAAGTGTTTTATTTTAGTTGTTATTTATTCATTTCAATTTACAGCGGCTGTAGATGTTGTATTACAGATCATTTTATATGAGTAACTTAATAGGGTATGAAAAACATCAGCTATTTGTCTTCATCATTTAAAGGTTTCGCAAACAGGAGTAAAAACTACATTTTGAGAGAATACTGATGTACTGACTTTAGTCAGATTCACCTCAGGCCAGTTTGAGAGTCATTAAAGAAACAATGCACCCAAAACTGAAACCTGTAAGCGTTTACTCACACCTGTTTAGTTCCCTACCTGCATTTTTGTCTTTCTTCTGTAGAATACTAAATTAAATGTTTAGCGGAATGTCCAGGCTGCTCTTTTTTTATGGAAGCTTGTTTCCACCACAGGGTGAAAAAAGGCAGTTGTGACATTTTTAGGGCTGCAAAACGATTAATCGCGATTAATCGCATTCCAAATAAAAGTTTATGTTTAAATACTACATTTGTGT